TCTGCAGCATATTCTGCTTATTCCTGCCTTATTCCTTGCTTATTCCTGCCTTATTTTTTGATTTTGGCTTTCTGCAGCATAGTCTGCTTATTCCTGCCTTATTCCTGGCTTATTCCTGCATTATTTCTGCCTTACTTTTGGATTTCGGCTTTCTGCAGCATATTCTGCTTATTCCTGCCTTATTCCTGGCTTATTCCTGCATTATTTCTGCCTTATTTTTGGATTTGAGCTTTCTGCAGCATATTCTGCTTATTCCTGCCTTATTCCTGGCTTATTCCTGCCTTATTCCTTGCGTATTCCTGCCTTGTTTCTGCTCTTTTTTTGACTTTGGGTTTCTGCAGCATATTCTGCTTATTCCTGCCTTATTCTTGGCTTATTTCTGATATTTAAATGGTTGAATCTGAGATGATTTTGGGGCAGCCCCATATTAAGGGAACATTTCACACGATGGTATTAATATATTCAGGTGTTCAACCTCTTCTGGTGAAATTTGGGATTTTTGTTTGAAACAAAATATCATGTCGCAATCATTCAGTTTCAGTGTGGGGCCCAAAGCAATGGTATATTGTCAATTTGTGGGTTCCTGTTTTGCCTTCTGAACAACAGCTATTTTGATCGGTTTTCTTTTTGGTCTCCCTTGTTGTTTACACTGGAAAATCATAGACTATTCAAGCATTATTTTTCCGAAATCCACCTGTCCTAAAGAAGGAAGTGGCAGTGAGGCATCATAGCTTATTCCATGTTTATTTCCACCTTATTTTGTTCAAAGGCTTTATTCCCAAAATAAGCAAGGAATAAGTAACTCTCCAGGGGGGGTAAAGGGGGGGGTGTGACATGCCATGATATGAACGTATTCCCAGAGATGCTAAAATTATGCTTCTGGATTTTGGGCACCTAAACTACCCAGAAAATCAGGATCTTACGACTCAGAGGTCTCCAAAAGTTGTTCTGTAGAAAATTGGGGGAACTTCGAAAGCATCATTTCAACAAATTCGAGCTTTTCGAACGGCAGAAAATCAACCCTCCTTAGGGGGGGTTAACCCCCCTGAAATCCTAGAGGAAACTCATACCGGTATCATAACACTATATGACGAAGGGTGATGACGAAGGGTGTTGACAAAGGGTGAGGACGAAGAGTGATGACAAAGAGTGATGACGAAGGGTGGCCAACAACGCAGCCACCTCCAAGCCAAGAAAATGGACGAAGACAGCATAGGCCAATGCCATTTAAATTGAAGGCAAGCATCACTCACAAATGAACTCATGTAATGGTGGCACAAAATTGAGTGGAATATTTTTTGCAGCAAAATCGCAATCTTTCAGGGTTCGATCATTCTGGTGGTTCCCTCTGAGCATTTTTCAATGTTTCAATACCCATATTTTCAGACATGGATCCTATTTTGGAGGCTTCAAAGATCTGAGTTTTTACAAGCCGGAACAGCCCCAGCGTGCCTCTCGCGAGGCATCTTCCACGAAGAAAATAGCACGCCAATCCTGCGGGAATTTTGGAAGTTGCAAGACCTGGAAACCACACCAAACCAGGCGGGAAAGGCATGGGGACTCACAGAATGCAACAAGAACGAACATACTGAATCAATGGATTGGTTTAAGGGAAAATCTACAGGAAAGCCCCATACTTAATGGGAAAATCTATGGTTTCCTGTAGATTTTCCCTTAAACCAATCCATTGACTGAAGAGAAATCGCAAGTTCAAAAATATCGACATAAATGACATAAGAGGTTCAAATCTGCGTGCAAGAAAACCATCGTCAAGGTAGTCTCTCGGTAGTCTTGCTGTCTTGCACAAAGAGAACAAGTACAACAACGCATGTGGCAGTGTGTCAAAACCTTGTACCCCTGGTGAACATCAAAATAGCTGGTAAATGGATGTTCATCCCACTAAAAATGGTATTAATAGGTATTGATCCATACCCATGTCACAGTATGACTGTTGGGCACGTTGCGGGTGTTCTCCTTTTGTTGGCCCAACCGCCTGGTGAAATCCATGTTGCAAACTCGTTGGCAGATCCGCTGCAGTCGATAATTCATGAGCCAAATGTGACCCTATTGAAGGGGTCAGGTAGTTGTCTATCCCCATTCTTTCCCCATTATCCCCAGGTGATACGCCTCACTCTTTTTCAAACAGATGTGCGCTGGCACAAGTTGCAACTGGCAACTACAGCACAAAATTTCACGGCCTGGATCGGTCATGAGGACCTTACGAAATTCTTCATTGCGTTGGTCTGAGATCAACACAAAACCATTCAAAAAAACAAACAAATACCCTCAACAAAAACTGGTTGAAACGGGGAAAAAAAAACATGTCCCAATAAATCCTGAAACTCCGTTGAACCCCCCCTGTCTTTGTGGGTTTAAAAACTAGTGAGTAGTGCTCATGGGTAGCCTGAGGCCGTGAAAAAATATCCTGACCATCCATGTTCCACAGCAAGGCTATCCATGTCTGGCCGTAGATTCATCTTTTTTCGACGGGAGTTGGTGGTTTTGGTGGTAAATCTAGGCTCTAAAAGAGCATCTGTGGAGCTGTGCGCTGCAGTCATCTGCAATGAACAGGACCTCAAGGACCTCACGTTTTGACCCACACACGGCCTTGTCGTGGAAGTGGAACTACCCTCATATCACCAAGGGCTTTCAATCCAGTGACGATTCTGGCGTTGCACCGTGATATGAGAAGAAACTCATGTAGCCATTTTGGCTATGCACCACGTTTTGTCCCTGGAATCTCATCTGCACATATTCTGTATGTTTATAACCTTACATGTCAAACTATATAGAGTATGCCGTAGAATTTCAATCAATTTCATCTTACTGGTGCTAAACGCAGGGAATTTTCGGGAATGATCCATTTCATCACTAATAATAATCATCCCAGCAAGCCCCCCAGCAACCCATCCATTCCCTGCGTTTAGCACCAGTAAGATTTCCATCGTCTGTGAGGGGAGCTGATCAAGCTGGCTTTTGTCGACCGCAGGAAAATATCCATCAACTATAACAGTTAGTGGATGTTAATGGGGTCTATAAGCCAACTTGTATAATCTAACTTATATATACTTATATCAATATCTACCACAAAGCATAGTTATGCATAGTTAACTTAGTTATAAACTAACTTAGCTATCTAGGGCCCCACCTATTATAACTTGTACTGTGACAAACCCAATTATCAACCTCCAAGTGGTTTCTTACAATGGAAACATCCGATTGGGGATGGTTCTTTTCCCCCTATTTCTGCTATTGATTCTATTGATGAAATTATAGATAAATGGGAGGCCTGATCAAACATCCCCAAAATAGGAATCCTGGAAAAAGGAGGCCCGGTAGAATTAGCTTTTAATGTTGGTATGGATAGTTTTCAGTCAATGGTTAATCTAGTCCAACTTTTGACCTACAATATAGTGATGTTGAGAACTGTAAGATACCTTATCAACAAGCAGCATTCCCTGGTAGTTCAATTCCTACTGACCAACGTTTTGGGAAGGATCATTCACCCATCGTTCCCTGAACTGGTGGACGGTTTCCATTAAGCATCATTTCTTGTATCCTTCTCAGGTTCCCATACTGTACCAAGCACATGACCCCACACGCCACACATGAGATTCATAATGACCGTCATTCTTGTAGACCATTTTAGGGGTAAATGTTGGTTTGGTGAGGCCTACCAGCATACGATGCTTGTTCCAATAAAAAAAGATATGCGTAAGTGGCGTAACATTGCCATGGCCATAATATGGCCATAGTCTTGTGCGTTTGGTGGACATGGTTTCGGGATTTGTTTCGGCAACGAATCAGAACATCCTTGTTCAAAGGGCTGCTAAATGCTCGATGACATCCCCTAGCTGTTCATGGGATGTCTTTGCTCCGAGAGGTGTGCAATTCTCCATGCGAGTCTCCTGTTTCATATTGGACATAGTGACATAGGCATAGAAGGACAGAATATACATGAATATACATTCCTGTATGGCAAGGTATAGCAATTCTACAGGAACCATGTCACCATGTCTTCATTTTCTGTCAATGAGGGGTTTCTCTGAGAATTGGGTGTAGGATTGCCCATAGTATCCGTTGATTTGTCATCAAAAGTCGATTTGAAAACAGGAACAAACTGCCATCTGCAGGGAGAGACCAAGTCCAGGTGGAATCGCTGAACATTGGGAGGACGCAGTCAGACTAAGCTGCGTTGGTAGAGTCTTAGAGAAGGTAGGGACAAGGATGGAGGATGGGGATGATGATCATGATGGTAATGAGGATGAGGATAATGAGGAGGAGGAGGAGCAGGAGGAGCATGATGAGGATGTTTAGGAGGATGTTGAGGATGATTAGGATTAGGAGGATGTTGAGGATGACGAAGATAAGGAAAATGAGGAGGATGACGAAGATAAGTTAAATGAGGAGGATGGTGATGCTGATACTGATGCTGATGTTGATGATGGTTCTGATTCTGATTATGATGATGACGATGGCCAATGATACGTTGACTACCTTGAGAAAGGGGAGAAAAAGAAGAAAGGCGGTTTGCAGGATGAATGTCATGATTGTGACGTTTAGAAGGCTTCCGAGTGCACCTGTTCGACAATTTCCCAACTGTATATATAGATTTGAGAATTGGCCACCTCGTTGAGCAAAGGAACACTAACGTTGGTGTTGCAAATGACAGCTGCGGGGCGGCTCTTACGTTTGCTGTACATGATCAATCATCAGAAGATATTTAAAATATATATGGAGGGTTCCAAGGTCATGGGGGTACCCCTAAATCATCCATTTCTAGTTGGGATTTTCCATAAAACCATCCAGCTATTGGGTACCCAAAAGTGACTTTCTTCAAACGGGATGAAGTCTCCCGGCATTCAGCGCTTTTTTCAGGATTACCCTTGTTGGAAAACATATGCGGTAATAAAACATGGATAAACATGGCAGTGGAAAATAGACTCTTCCATTGGAGATGTGAAAGAAGGAACATCATCAAACATCATCAAACTAAATGGGGGGCAAATGCCAACAAAAATCAACAAAAGGACCCTCTATGTGGAATCTTCCAGGACTCATGGCAGGAATTTTTAACGGCGAATCCAACGTCCAAGCAGTTGACATTTCAAGGGCCCCAAAAAATTCATCTCAGTGGCGATCTCGTTCAGCATAAAGCTGGTGCCAAGCGCCTGGACGAAAAGTTTCAGACAGCATGGTGTTTGGTGATGGCCCAGTGATGTTTGGTGGTGAAAATTCAACTTTCTGGGCAAAATTGGGTTCATCATGAGAATATAACATATCTAAAGAAGATTCGAAACATGCTAGAACAATCTAGAACAGTCAATCAAATGGCTAAGCTAAGGTTGGATACTCCAGCAAAGGTGCTTTCAAACGGAAACCAAAACGGGAGACCATCAGTTCCTAATTCAAACGGCAATGTGGTCAAAGAGACCTTTCCGATATCATGGGCATGATATCGGAAAGGGTTTTTCAGTTGGGCTGGAAGGTCACATACCAGTAGGTGGTCAGTAATTTTTTTTTCTCTTCTAGAACCATTCATGTATGGTTTCAAGCTCCACAAATGGGGGACTTGAAACCAGGTTATAAAAATAACCTAATCCTAAGTGGGATGATCATGATGATCCTCCAAGCAATTGCCCTCCAAGTGTTTCAATTCCATATAAATCTACATTTCGATCTGTTTCAAATGCATTTTCAAATGCATTTTCAAATGGCATCCCAATAGTTCTTAGACGGAGATGGCTCTTGGCGGTGCTGAGATTTTTGTCCTGGCGCTGTTTTTTCTCGGTGATCCAGTCAGGTGTACCGCCATGACATCACCCATTCCCTCGAAATGCCGTGAAGCACGGGAAAAAACGGAGGAGAAACCCCAGTACCCTCTGGTAATTTAACATAGCTATTGAAAATGGCCATTTATAGTGAGTTTTCCCATTAAAAATGGTGATTTTCCATAGTTATGTTAGTTTACCAGAGGGTATACCGCACCATCTCCTCTGATCTTTGTGTCAAGCACACCCTGCGGCTTCAAACACCTTCTCATCCTGTAATTATGCAACTGGCCAACTGGTTTTCGGGTTGAACTATTCCCCAAAAATATGCCCATTCATATCCCATTGAATCAGAATTTCCCATGGAATCCCCGATTGTTGATGACCTTTGGAGCGCCTGAGACGCGTCTCCAAACGTGTCTCAGGCAGAGGACCAAGTCCTCATCCGCGGTGCGAAGTTTCAGGGGGATTGCACTCAAAATAGCGTGATAGATTGCATTAAATGGGGAAATATTGGCCATGATATAGTAGTGATTACATCGAAATTAAACTAGTTTACATGGGTAATAGCAACTAATTATATATATAAACATTCACACATCTCTTTTCTTCCGCTGTGCAGACCTGATTTGTCAGATTAAACAATTCGGGTAATTAAGTTCTTGTCCTTAAGTATAGGGGGCCCCAATACTTTATGCTCACGCCAAACCGGAGCACAAAATATTCCCCTTACAATGCTTCTCGGCTCCCCGCCAAACCGGGGCACACCGAGCCCCAAGCATTTTTGGACAAGACAAAGACGAAAAGAAAAAGACTGTTGACCACCCCCAGGTCGCTTTGCTCTTTTTAGACCAGTCTTCTTGACCGTCTTAGAGGCTTTCTTAGCCTTTTTGCAAGGGATTCTTGCCGTATTTTTGTTCTTTCCAGGGGGGGAGGGTAAAGGGGAAAGAACCAAAACGCTACATGGAATAATCGAGATGTTTCATGTTTATCCCCGAAATTCGTAGGAACAAACATTCACACATCTCTTTTCTTCCGCTGTGCAGACCTGATTTGTCAGATTAAACAATTCGGGTAATTAAGTTCTTGTCCTTAAGTATAGGGGGCCCCAATACTTTATGCTCACGCCAAACCGGAGCACAAAATATTCCCCTTACAATGCTTCTCGGCTCCCCGCCAAACCGGGGCACACCGAGCCCCAAGCATTTTTGGACAAGACAAAGACGAAAAGAAAAAGACTGTTGACCACCCCCAGGTCGCTTTGCTCTTTTTAGACCAGTCTTCTTGACCGTCTTAGAGGCTTTCTTAGCCTTTTTGCAAGGGATTCTTGCCGTATTTTTGTTCTTTCCACGTCCCCCTGTCCTGCTCTTGATCAAAAGAGCGGGCTCAAGCGTTTGGACAGAGGAAAGGAAATTGTTAAAAACAAGGTGAAACGGACGCAACAATTTTTTGGGTATCTGGATGTCTGCCAACATTGCCAGCCCAGAATTGAGATAGATTTTGGCAGTTTTCACTGCTGTCCATCTACCTAAAAGCAAAACTCTGTCAAGTGAACCAATCTTCACAAAAAGCGAGGTAGCACCTCCTCGGCGCAGCGAATATGGTCTAAAATCCCATCGCTCGACCCCTATAGATTTCAAGCAGTTCTGAAACATCTCACGCCATACATGTGGCTTCTCGGTGAGATAATCATACGGGGAGGCAACAGCCTTCCACTTCCGAAGCAACTGAATTACACCATGCTCTGTAAGAGTTATGCTCTCAGCTGCGCCCTGTCGCTTACCGGACTTAGTAAGCCCTAAAGAGACAACAACGGGGTCATTAGAAGTTGAAGTTTGGAATTGCCAAGCTTGAAGTGACAACAGTTCGCCAGCGCGAAGGAGTCCATAAAATCCCACTAGAAGACTGATCCCAAAGCGGAAATGTTCATGGAGAAAAGACCAGCCTACCATCGCCTTTAAAACTGTTTCAGTCAGGGGTGGTGCTCTGTTTGGAACTTCTGCAGTAGTCCAGGTTCTCATCAATCTCCAGGACAATGGGAGGAGGCCCTTAAGCTTTGGGTCTCGATCTTGCAAAGCCGCCAGAAAATTGCTGGCGGAGGCCCTACCCTCCCCTTCTGACCAGAGGTACTCAATGTAGTCGCTCACAAATTGATCCATCTTATCCCTTTTCGATGGGAGGTCCAAACCCTCCCTTGCTAGATAGTCATAGAAGTGCTGAAGACTTTCATCATAACGTTTGCGGGTAATAGGCTGAACGGTAAGAGACCTCAAAGAGCCAAGGGTTTTTCTGAGTTGTTTCCTATCTTCTTTAGAGTGACCTGGTTTGAGCTTTAAGCCATTTTTAGCCATTTCTTCTTGACCCCGCGCCGTGATGGCTTGTCTGCGGGGTTAGATGCGGTATCAACGTAGGCCCAAAGGGGCCTGAGGCCACTCACCAGAAGATAGGAATTCAATCTCATCAAAGTACGTCTCATTTTTCTTGACGACGATCTCACACGGCTCAAAGCATGCAATACGACTAGAGAGTCAACCATATGAAGGCAGCGCTGATCTGCCTGTCTGAGCCGCTCCACTCTCCAGCGAACTCCTGTGAGGACCGCCCTCAGCTCCAACACGTTAATGTGCTCGGAAGTGTCAGTCCACTTCCACCCGCTCACTGTCTTCCACCTCCACAACTTGGATGGCAAACTCATTCTCAGCCTGTGGTATTTAACTGGAACATCAGTTTGATGCTGCAGCAAAATGTCCTCTCCCTTCAAGGAGACAAGACCGCAGAGCTTGCGTACTAAGATACTGCTGCAGTCCTGCGTAGTGGTGCTCCAATTCATTGCTGGCCTCAACAACAACCCTTGTAGGTTAGTTGACTGACCCGGTGCAAGCCTGTTGACGATGTCCTGAAGGCTAATGGCGTCCATGAAACCCAACCGATGTAAAAGCGGTGACAACAACCATGCAATCACCGGCACACTCCATGAGTTACCCAAAAGAGTGAGCCTACAATCCTCATGCACCTGAGAGTAGTGTTGAGATTTATTCAGACACTGTTTGGTGAAACCAACTGGGAACCCCAAAATAGCTTCTCGTTCAGCCACATTGGGAGGCCTAAAGTCTCCCTTTGATGATCGCAAGCAGTTCTCGTCCTTGTACTGGTACGGAGGGTACTTGAAGCGATCATTGCGCCACCGCTCTAGTTCATGCTCCTGACATTGCTTCAAACCCGCGGGTCTCCTGTGTGGAGTTGTGCTCGGCCGTGAAGTAGTAAACGTTGGCAGCCCCTGTTCTGGAGGGACCCAGCCTGGCTCCACATAGAGCTTCTTGTCGAGGGTAGCTTCTAATGTTACTTCCCCTTGAATGGGGAGCTGTCCGTCCGACCCCCACTGGATCGTGACTCCATCACTTTCCAACAATTCCCAAGAGACCCAGTAAACACGGGGTCTACAGCAAAGGCTAATCCCCAAAGCATCTATAAACCAGGGTAATTCCTCATAAGCCTCATTCATAACCTGGCAGTCGCCAAAATCCATTGAAGCAACATTCTCAACCAGCCTATGAACTTGGGCCCAGCAGAAAAAACGCCTACAAAGGCAATAGACCCTGGGCACGTGTTGGAAAAGACAGCTGCGTAGGTCTCGCAAAGCTCCACGCCTATCAGAGTTCAAACCTGAGACCCCCTGGCAGGGGGGGCCAGCCCCGACCAAAACCAGCCCCACATTGCTGTACCTCAACGACCACTGCTTGACCATGTCCTCATCAATCAGCTCAATGTCCTCCACAAACAGCGTGTCCGCGAAGTAGCTCTCAACCACGCGCCTCGCTTCTGGACTTTTCTCCACCGAGATATGCCCAGCCACAGGGACTCCAAGAGAGTCAATTGCCACCCGAAGACCACTTATTCCGTCAAAAAGTCCTATGGTAAGAACCTGTTGAAAATCATGTTCTTCAGGGCAATCTCCTCTCACATAGCTCGCCGCTGCGGCCGCCCCATAAGGGGTAAGGCCCCGGCTCACACACAAGCCCCCGCCTGTCGTTGATGCGTCGCTTACTGTCACCAAAGGGTCTGCTGGCGCTCTCATGTTGATAAAGGCCAATGGGAGGAGTGTCATGAAACGTGATATCTCATGCACCACCTCCCTTCGAAGAGGAAATCTCATTCCTTTAGGTCGCCCTTCAAGGTCAACAATCTGACGCCAGATCTGGTTCAACCCACACAAAAGCGGCCGGTTGAACATCGCCACATACACCAAACCACCACCGACTACTTGAAGCTCTCGCTGTGAAGCAGCACCATTCTTGATGAGCTGGAGGCCCAAGGCCACATACTTGGCGATCTTGGGAGGCTTTGCAAAGACCATCCCCTTGGCTCCATCCACCCAGGCACCTTGAACCTCAGCCTCAAGCTGTTGCTCGGTGGCCTTTTTGGGATGTCTTGGGAGACCAGCTTGGGCGTAGGCCTCCCGTAACTGTAGCACCTCCTCAGACGGAGTACCCGCCAGGAGATCTGCTGTGGCCTTGTCTACCTTTTTTAGCTGATCATAGTTGTCGAGGTAGACACGAAAAAGATGACCACTACTAGAAAAAGGTTTGTCACGCCTCAGCTCCCCTTCACCTCCGAGGGGGGCCTCAAGGCACCCATGCAATGTCGCACCACGTTGCGATGCACATGCTGTGCAATAGCCACGCTATTAATAAACCCCATAGGTAAAACTTTGCTAACTAAGTAGCCCCGCTCACCATCAAAATCAGCCCCCAAAAGTTCACCCGGCACTTCCTTCCCAAAAGCCAGAAATTTCTGCCAGGAACAAGGGACCTTGAACAAGTAGAAGAAGCACTTGATGTCCTCACTCGAGATGGTGAGCCGCTCATCCTGATCCAGGAAGAGGCTACTAAGGCATGTTGCTGACGGCAAAGTACAAGTATCACCCTCAAGACTGCGACAAATCGAGTTGGTGGGTTTGAGGTTCATGATGAGTCTGCAGACTTCAATACCATCAACGAACTCCTGCTTTGAAACTGCAAACAGGCCATTCAACAGGCAACGACCCCGAACATGATGGATCTGGCTCTCCCTGAAAACTTTGCAGATGCCTCTGCTGATAAGTCCTCTACAAACTTCTAACCAGTCATCATCCTCCACAAAAATCTTTGGTGTTCGCCCTATGACCTGCTCAGCCTCATCCAACATGAAATCAACAAAATGGTCGATGTAATGAAGAACCCCACCATAACAGAAATCCCTCACATGTAAAAGGCCCACTTGATCAGGAAAAGACGGTGCGATAGATTCCCATTTTAGACTCTTTGCCAACTTGATTTCTTCACCCATGTAGTCAACAGATCTAGTTGAGAAAAACTCCGCAAAGTCCAATTGTGGCAACTCTTCCCCCAAGATCGGGGACCCATCAACGATGCCATGCAATCTTTTCTGGGCCCGAAATGCGGTCGGGCTGTGCCGCGTAGGGGTCTCTGACGCGAAACCTGCCAAGCTATTCAGGCCACACAGTGTGGCTCGAAGAAATGAAGCCCTCGAGGAGGAACCATGCGTAACATCAAGAGCTGGCAATGGGAACATATCCATTTTACCAGCCGTGGACTTAGGTCTGCACTTCAACCCAAATGATATCACGCATGATCCCTCCTATGTCCTCTACTCTCACCGGCTTTTGAGCTTGTTGAAAAACTCCTTGAATTCTTTGGTGAAAACTCTGGGAGACTGCCCAGTCTTCGCTGGATAGACTCCCCTGTACGGCAAAAGTGTGGTCTGCGGCCTTCTCAGCGTCCTCAAGAAGTTGAGCCACCGCATCCTCAATGTCATAGCCTCTCATCTCTGCTGCCTCTACTGCCTCACTGCCTCTCTTCTGCCTTCTTGTAACCTGCCTGCCTCTCTCAGTCTCATAGTTAAGCCCTTCATCTGCTCTGAGGGGTCTCTGGATAGCTCTTGCACTGTTTGGGAGAAACGATGATGATGAATCCATCATCATTTGTCTTTCTTTTGCCATTCTCCCTTGCTCTCTCTCTTGCCTGCTCCTCCTTTTCCTCTGCCGCCATCATCATTTCCTCCTTTGCCAGTGCCTTTGCTATCCTTGCCCTTCTTTCCTTTTATGCCGCTCCTCAAGTCGCCAGTCCTGCTCAGGGAACTCCTCAACTTCTCTTCTTCCTTCGCCGCTTTGGCTGCGTCCATGCCTTCGCCCTCACCTGTGATTGACTGTGGGTCAGACCGAATCAACTCAAGTTGCCTGGCGATGGTCCAGTGTGTCCCACGGCTAAGGCTCTCTAAGGCCTTTAGCCTTTGGGCCAGCACGTCGGCTGCCCATGCCGGCTTCCCCATTAACAGGGCGTCAAGGCACGCCGCGATGGTAACTGCTTCTTGCAGCATTGGGGGTGACATTCCCCCGGCCAAATGCTGTCGTGTAAACTGCATGGCCAGGGGGGGCAACGCCTTTTTCTCGGTCTCGTTGAGGCAGCAGCTGCCAGCGCCCCTGGATACTTCCTCCAGATGGTGCGCATTCTCCTCTCTGTATTAAAAAGCCCGCCTGTCACGTCTTTGGACGATGAGCTTGGAGAGGACGATTTCGATCTGCTAGAAGAAGACCCCGATGATGACCTGCGGCGCTTCTTCTTCGACTTCCCAAGCTTCCTCGCCTTCTTCAAGATCTTTCGACGAGCTTTTGCACTGGGGTCTAAACCCGTGCCGGCAAAAAGATCTGCCAGAGGCTTTTGCCCCACTTCCACGGCCTCACTTTCCGATGAGGCGCTCCTCTTCTTCGCTTTCTTCTCTGTCTTTGCCTCCTTCTCCTTTCCTTCCTTCTTCTTTTTCAACTTCTTTTCTTTGGGAGATACCTCGTCTCTCCCTTCTCTCTGCAGCCTCACTTTCTCTGCATCCTCACGCATGTCAGCCATCTCGTCTGCGCCCTCATCATCTCGACCTCCTCTGATCCTCACCATGTTGGTGAACCAAGGCTCCTGAGTTGCGCTCACTTGCACAAACTCCCGACCATGCACCAAGGCCTCATCTGTCAGCCTCCCACTACAATCCGGGGGACAGACATGGATGCTGAGTCTCCGCCCTTCTCGGCCTGTCAGGGCTTTCAGCAACTGCTCATCCTTCGTCCCTGAAGCCTCCAAGTCAAGGAAGATCTCACCATCAGAAACTCGAACACCCATGAGCTTTCCCACAACTTCTACTTCACGCTCATAGTAGCGCCCTTTCTTGATGTGGACGTGCTTCAACTTCGACAGTTCAGCCATGCTCAGATCGTAGAGGAACTGCCGGGGGGCTGGAGGTGGTACGGCCTCGACACGTGCAGCTGGTCGGCGAACTCCTCCTCTGAGCCTCGCAGCTGGCCTCCTGACGGCCACCTTCGCCTTGGGAGGCATGGAGTCTCCCCTGAGTCGGGCTTAGCGCCACCTGTTGTGGTATTCTTGCTTAGCCCTCTTGGTCAAACCCTTGTTTGTCCCCTCTGACCAGCGAGGATGGTTGGAATAGGGAATAGGGCCAATCCAGCCTCTCCCTTGAGGGGTTCTGTAACCCGGAGGTGGCCTGGACGGACTCCTGGGCCGAGGCGGAAAGGGGGGAGATCTGGGCCTCAACGGAGACCGAGGCTCAGCTGGCCTGGCCTTGCGCTCCCTGCCCCTCACACTTCGGGCAGACTCGTAGCTCCTCCGATCTCCTCTGCTTCTCCTCTTTCCTGAGCGGCTTCTAGGAGAGCGATGCTCTCCCCTAGGCTTCTCACGGCGACGACTTCTGGAACGTGTCCTCCTCTTGTCTTTCTTCTTCTTCTTGGCTTTCTCTTTGTCCTTACTCTCACCTCGTTCTCTATGCGGCTTTGCTGCAGATGAAGGCTCCTTGTCGACGGCATCCGCTTCTACCAGACCTTCTGGGCTGGAAGTCCTCTCAACCTTGAGTCTGATTTCCTCTGATGCACGGGCAGGTTCAGCAGGCTTTGACTTTGGGTACAGGCAGCTTCCTGAGGGCTCTCTTTCAGGATCAGGCGGTGCTGGATGGGCTGAGGCAGGCCCTTCAGGAGGCGGTGTTGCACCAGGTGGTCGGGCAGGAAGTGCACCAGGTTGGAGTTCCTCTGAAGGTGGAGGCTGACCTTCAGGAGGGGCTCTGGGAGGCACCGCCCTCCCGTGGGAGACACTGAAGGCAAGAGCGTCCCTGAGCTCTGCCTCCAGCACTCTGACGTGGCCACACGCAAGAGGCCCAAACACTGGGAGAGGTTCCCCCTCCCTTAGTAGCAAGAACACCCGGTTCAATGAATGGCAGAGGGGGCAAGTACACGACGTCGGATGCCCCCACATATACCACTGAAAGAACCAAAACGCTACATGGAATAATCGAGATGTTTCATGTTTATCCCCGAAATTCGTAGGAACATATATATCATTTTACAAAAGTGATAATAAATAGTGCTAACAAATGGTCATCCCCTATCATAATCTATCATATACTAAACCAAAATATAGTGGTAGATTCTGAAAAAATATGGACATATAAATTACTATTAAAATGTCTTGCGAATCCCCTATGATATACTACAGTATTTATATAATAGTGATAGATTACGATGAAAATTGACTCACTAAACCGATGGTTTCTTTCTGGGTTATCTTTGTATCACCAGCCAACCAAACACATTTCGATGTCCGATGTCTTCGTTTGAAGTCCGACCAGCCCCTAGCAGCAAGCTAAACCACCATCATAACAATATTTCTACAGAAGTTGGTTGATAAGGACGATTAAATATATCATTGTCAGCATGGGATTAGATCATTATTATTGTCATGTACCTTTATTACTATTACCATTACCGTAATCATTATCGCCACTAGTATGATGAAATTGGCAATCCCCAAACCTTCATTTTTTCATTACTTGAATCCCACAGATTGCAAAAATTTGAGTTTCGGAGATGTATATATGATTATATATGGAGGTTTCCAATCCATGGTTTTCCCAGTTATCAATCATCCATTTGAGATTGGGATTTTCCAGATTTTCCATAACATAAACCATCCATTTCTAGTTATCTAGTTGGGATTTTCCATGAAAACCATCCATGTCTAGCTTGGGATTTTCCATAACATAAACATACATAAACCATCCATTTCTAGTTATCTAGTTGGGATTTTCCATGAAAACCATCCATGTCTTGGGATTTTCCATAACATAAACCATCCATTTCTAGTTATCTAGTTGGGATTTTCCATGAAAACCATCCATGTCTTGGGATTTTCCATAACATAAACCATCCATTTCTAGTTATCTAGTCGGGATTTTCCATGAAAACCATCCATGTCTAGCTTGGGATTTTCCATAACATAAACATACATAAACCATGCCTTTCTAGTTATCTAGTTGGGATTTTCAATGAAAACCACCCATGTCTTGGGATTTTCCATAACATAAACCATCCATTTCTAGTTATCTAGTTGGGATTTTCCATGAAAACCATCCATGTCTAGCTTGGGATTTTCCATAACATAAACATACATAAACCATCCATTTCTAGTTATCTAGTTGGGATTTTCCATGAAAACCATCCATTTCTAGTTATCTAGTTGGGATTTTCCATGAAAACCATCCATGTCTTGGGATTTTCCATAACATAAACCATCCATTTCTAGTTATCTAGTTGGGATTTTCCATGAAAACCATCCATGTCTAGCTTGGGATTTTCCATAACATAAACATACATAAACCATGCCATTTCTAGTTATCTAGTTGGGATTTTCCATGAAAACCATCCATGTCTTGGGATTTTCCATAACATAAACCATCCATTTCTAGTTATCTAGTTGGGATTTTCCATGAAAACCATCCATGTCTTGGGATTTTCCATAACATAAACCATCCATTTCTAGTTATCTAGTTGGGATTTTCCATGAAAACCATCCATGTCTTGGGATTTTCCATAACATAAACCATCCATTTCTAGTTATCTAGTTGGGATTTTCCATGAAAACCATCCATGTCTTGGGATTTTCCATAACATAAACCATCCATTTCTAGTTATCTAGTTGGGATTTTCCATGAAAACCATCCATGGCTTGGGATTTTCCATAACATAAACCATCCATGGAGCGAGCTTCTGGTGACTCCACTGACTGAGGAATTCATTCGCCAAGCGTCAATGAGGTCACTGGACCCGTCAACTCAAGAGACTTCAACAGGTCACCTGCCGATGTACGGAACATATAGATATCGTGTGTATATGTGTATGAATAGTATAACGAAAAAGGAAGAAAAACCAACACGTGTATGAATGTATATATAACGAAAAAGGAAAATATAGATATAGTATGATATAGTTAACTCGGAACATAAATATGGAGATAAATAATGATAAATATTGATAAATATATAATTGGATATAATTGGAACATAGTATCCAACTCAATAAACAACGGAATATCTGAAATCTTCGATCTGAAAATTGCCGGGTTTTTGATAAACTCGACCGGTTTGATCATGTTTGATCCAGTGGATGGACCGGAGTGGCTGTGCCAGGTGGACTTTGTACACCTTTCACTTTAAAACATTGGATACTAATGATATATGATACAGAATGTATTCATAAAAAGCATCATTTAACCATTTTAGGATTTTAGGGATAAGTGTAGGCAAAAAAAAGGTAACTCGAGCACAATCGGACATGGAAGCGCTTCGATTCTCGAGCTGAACTTCTTGATTTTTGGTTGAAGAAACGAATAAAACAAGTAAGTACCAAAACCATTCTCGCATACACTCTGGTAAACTAACATATGGAAAATCACCAAAATTTTCGATAGGTAAATCAACTATTTCTATGTGCCATTTTCAATAGCAACCTGTTAATTCACTAGAGGGTATATCCATCAATATCCCAGTATTATCCCATCATTATCCCATGATCATCCCGGAAAAAAAAACAGATGAAAAACCATAGTAAACCCATATTAAACCCATTGAACCTCCATTCGTTTACCAGAGGCTACCAGGCTGAAATGTTGCCAAGTCGTCACATCACGGACTCAGCTCCCAGGACAAGTTTCCCGAAGAAATTGGATGAAATTGGCATAGCCGGGGCCAGAAATCCAGAAATCGCTCTAGTTGTTCTATGTGATAAAACTAATTGTTACTAATTATTAGAACAACATAGAACAACTATATATTATTCATGCACATATAATTAGAACAACTGGTCATGAATCCAGAAATCCTCATGATATTTTCATATTGTTCATGCCCCAACTAGATTCATGAGCTCATCACCAACAGTACTTAGGACTTCTGATGATCACCAACAGTTTCACACAAAATCTCCTGCCTTGCACGCTGAAGACATGGATTGCACCCCGAGGACTTGCGGCGGCCAACTTCAAACCATTGTAGTTCCAGGCAAAGTCCTCGTTGATGGTTGAAAATGAGGAAACATTACCAACATGGGAAAAACACGGGAGCATATTCTATATAATCTATATGAATCATACAATATCTAAACATAGAATGTGTTATGTGATAAATTTGGCAGTTCCTATTTCTAGGATTAAAACTTATCCTCTGGCAATCTAACCGGACATTATTTGTAAAAAAAACTGATTTCAAGGGCAAAAACAATGTATGAAATGTCTTTCTAGACTACTTGCGATGCCAACAACAATCCCAAGATTGGCATGTAACGCCCTCACACTCCTCACTAGCATTAGTCACCGTTCGTTTGGTTCAGAGGATATCACTTTTCCCTGGATTTCAGCTTGTTGCGCCCCCCATTTGGGATGGCCAAATAGCGGCCAATGTCGCATTGGGAAAGTCAAAAATCACCTTAAAGAAACCCTTTTTTTCCTACGAAAATGACAATTGTTTGGATATTCCCCATTTACAAACAACCCATTTGGTGGGCGTTCGATATTGGAAAATTTTACGGCGCCCAGAATCCGAACGTTGAATTGGTTCAATAGTTTCTCTCATGGATACATGGATATAGCCATAGCCAAGTAACCAACTTAAGACAACAAAGTTTGCTAAGTTGCTTCAAAAAAACAGCGTTTACGTTTTTTGATCTACCGTAGATATATGAAAAACAGGTTAGATGGGAACATTATTTCAACAAGCAAAACTGGGCATCACCTTCTATGATGACTTTCAAGAAATGCATCCATTGAAATTGGTAACTGTACAACCTTTTGGTGTAGTTGAAACAAGCACAGAAGTGAAAACCACCGTACTTGTATCGCCAAAAATTATCCATGGTTGCTTGTGAATCCCATGTTGTCCCATGTGAAAAAATATTGCGTAAAAACTTTCAGAAGGGCTTCGAGTGACGACTGTTCCCCGCAACTGGGTAGCAATTTTTGGCATATATCTGGAGTATCCAAAAATACCTTAGCTGCAAAACATGTTCATATAAAGATTTCAGGATCAAACCAGTTTGTAAGTTGCTTTGTCATAAAAATGAATGACTATGAACCACATGTTTAATGTATCATATGCCCATTTTTCCTATATTTATAGATTCTCTTGATGACTAACAACCTTAGGGCAGCTGAAGATCAACAGCCTACAGCTCTGCAGCCAAGGAACCGCAAAGGGCCCCAAAGCCGCGGACTTCCAGGCGACTTTACCTGGCGAGAAATGGCTTGACATCACTCCTGAGATAGACCACTTTACCAGCAGATTCTGTGTAGATTCAGTGTGTGTGTGTGTAAATATACTATGTGCAATATCTATACACATATATATATATATGTATACATATTTATTTATTTATTTATTTATATATATACACTGACCTAAAAGTAGATGGCTCAACTCAAAAACCAAAATACCCATAAGATGGCACCGCGCGCTGAGAAAGAAAACGGCGCTATTTTAGCTGGAACATAAAACGAGGTCCGCCAATTGAAGAAAAAATCGCCCTACTTTAAAATGAAAAGGTAGATGGCGCAACTGCCACTCCAGTAGATGGATATAAGGGTATTGTTAACTAAATTTACTACATTTCCTATCATTTTTGCTTGTATATAGTATATACGGTGAAATTGCACAAATTTGTATTGTATAAAATGAGTTGCGCCATCTATGTCCCTTAAATCCCATTCAAACGCCAGAATCATTTTTTCGGTGAATTCAAAAATGAATTGCACCATCTACGTCCCTTAAATCGTATACAAATCTTTCAAAATTTCAGTGCCACGCCTTAAAAATGAACCACTGAAGGTTTTAAAACTGATTGTGGACAGAATTGATGGATGTAAATTTCATTGTTCAACATATTTTGACAAACATATATTGGAAAAACACTTTTAAAAATTCATTGCCATACCTTGAAGATGAGTTGCGCCATCTATGTCCCTTAAATCCCATTCAAACGCCAGAAAATTATTTTTCGATGGGTTCAAAAATGAGTTGCGCCATCTATGTCCCTTAAATCGCAGTCAAATCTTCGAACAAATTCATTGCAATACCTTGAAAATGAACCACTGAATGTTTTAAAACTGATTGTAGACAGAATTTTATGGATAGAAATGATAGAAATCTCATTTTTCAACATACTTTGACAACAATATATTGAAAAAGACATGTACAATTGCATTGCAATACCTTGAAACTGAGTTGCGCCATCTATGTCCCTTAAACCCCATTCAAACGCCAGAAATTTCTTTTTCGATGGGTTCAAAAATGAGTTGCGCCATCTATGTCCCTTAAATCGCAGTCAAATCTTCGAACAAATTCATTGCAATACCTTGTAAATGAACCACTGAATGTTTGAAAACTCATTGTGGACAGAATTTTATGGATAGAAATCTCATTTTTCAACATATTTTTTCTTTTTTGACCAAAAAAATGAAAAAACCTTTGCAAACTTCATTGTGATACCTTGAACATGAGTTGCGCCATCTATGTCCCTTAAATCCCATTCAAACGCCAGAAATTTCTTTTTCGATGGTTTCAAAAATGAGTTGCGCCATCTATGTCCCTTAAATCGCATTCAAATCTTCGAAACAATTCATTGCAATACCTTGAAAATGAACCACTGAATGTTTTTGTGGGAAGAATTTATGGATAGACGTCTGATTTTGAAACATATTTTGACAAACATATTTTGAACAAAAACTTTTAAAATTTCATTGCGATACCTTGAAAATGAGTTGCGCCATCTATGTCCCTCAAATTGCATGCAATTTCTTTCCGGTCATTTTTGCGTGCTTACATTCTATACACCATATACTGTGTATGTATATATATATATATATGAGTATGCATATGGGGAGTGTCCTAAAATGAGAGGCAACCCACGGCCCCAAGATGGCACCTGCCACGTGATCGCTTCGCATCGAAGGCTGCGGCCCATTTTTCCAAGGATCCAAAAATGAATCCCCTTCACATTCCACTCATTTTTTGAAGGATCCGAATCCATTGTATTTAAGATGGCAAAACATAGGTCATTTTTAGGGACATAGATGGCGCAACTCCCACTCATTCGCCAAAATCAGGCTGGGAATGCCCACATAGATGGCGCAACTCCCTCATATCTCCCGACATCCATCAACCAACCTAACCAAAATATGCCACATCGATCAGAGTTATGCCAAGACAGGAGGCAAAACCACCAGGAAAGACATCAGAGTTGTCCCAGGACAGGAGGCAAAACCACCAGGAAAGACATCAGAGTTGTCCTTTTTGGGACATAGATGGCGCAACTTCCGTCATTTTGCCAGCAAAGGTCGAGACGCTTTAAAACCCAATTTTAACAAGTGACCTGAGGAACCGTTTCTTGACGGCCAAAACGGTTCCTCAGGTCACTTGTTAAAGTTGGGTTTTAAAGCGTCTCGACCTTTGCTGGCTCAAAACAACTTCCGTCATTTCGCCAAAATCAGGCTGGGAATGCCCACATAGATGGCGCAACTCCGGGAGTTGCGCCATCTATGTCCCAAAAAAGCAGCTTGATGTTGAGAAAAAATTATGGGGAGAAACCAGTGCAGAAGATTGCAAAAAATATGTCATTTTTAGGGACATAGATGGCTCAACTGACCTGTTTTAAAGGGAGTTGAGCCATCTATCCCCCATTTTTTTTTTGACATAGATGGCGCAACTCAAGATTCTGAGCCATCTACTTTTAGGGGAGAGTATATATATATATTCACATTCAACGTGTATATATGGTACAAGTGTGTATATGTGTGTGTGTGTACTGTATATCTGCCGACCCTGCCTAGCACTTGCTACGGCAGGGTGGCGCCTGGGACCACATTGGGTGTGGAACCTTGCTTGTCTTGCTGCTTACCATGATGATTGCATTTACAACGCTGGACATGGTTGGGCCAACGCCGCAGGCAAAGCTTTCCAAAGCTTTCTCTATAGGAAAGTTATTTCTCCACGCCCAACGCTGCTTTAGTCTAACCCAAGGCCAAGACTCTTCCCGGAAACACCAAAAAGCCACGCCAGACTCTCGATTTATTGCGTTCCGAAACTGCCGGATGGCACCCTGTGCCAGGCCCTCCGATTCCGCTGCTTCTTTCCAGGCCCTCCGATTCGATCCCCTGCTTCCTTCGTTTCCCTCGAACGTGCGAAAACTAGCCCGGCAACACCAAAAGGCACGCCAGACTGCTTCCCGGCAACACCAAAAGCCACGCCAGACTGTCAATGTATTCCAAAACTGCTGGATGGCACCCTGCGCCAGGCCCTCCGATTCCCCCGCTTGCCTCGGTTCCCTCGAACGTGCAAGAGCCAGCCCCGCAACACCAAAAGCCACGCAAGCCACGCCCGCTTGCCTCGTTTCCCTTGAACGTGCGACAGCCAGCCCCGCAACATCAAAAGCCACGCAAGCCACGTCAGATCCGCCAGATTGTCAATTTATTGCATTCTGAAATTGCCGGATGGCGCCCTGTGCCAAGCCCTCCCATTAAATTCCCCCACTTCCCTCGTTTCCCTCGAACGTGCGAAAGCTAGCCCGGCAACACCAAAAGCCACACCAGACTGTCAATTTATTGCATTCCGAGACTGCCGGATGGCACCCTGTGCCAAGCCCTCCCATTCCCCCGCTTCCCTCGTTTCCCTCGAACGTGCGAAAGCTAGCCCGGCAACACCAAAAGCCACGCCAACATTCGCCACAGTGCCAGCCAGTGCTGCTCAGACATCAAAGTGGCAAAGGGGTAGATGGAAAACATGATGGCCCGGTTCCGACCATGGGCAGCTTTGGCCAAAACACAACTGGGGTATGAGACAACCAGCTAATCTTTTTTGCCGCGTTTTTACCATTGTTGAGGGCCCCAAAGTTCCCAAACAAGCTACGAATTATGACAGTTGTGGGCCCCCCTCTTTCTCCACCTGCAAGCTTGCCTTCGCACCTCATAAAATAGAATACCAGGTTGTTATACATCAACACCAAGATGAGTTATGACATGATGGCCCCTGATGGCCATACTTTTTACCATTGTTTGGGGTCTGTATCAAGTTGGCTGTTGCGTCACGATTTTCACCACCTGCTATTGCAAATGCCGTCGATTTGGCCCAATACCGGCTTGGATGGCAATGGACCATCAAACTTCCGAGGAGAATCTGGCCACGACATTCATGTCTCGACCTACGGCCATGTCATGGCACATGTAAAACCTTCTAGCTGCGGACTTTAAAATCAAGCCAACTGCACTGGCTGCACCAAGCTCAATCCGACTCAATCCATTGGTGCAACTTCCAGGCACTGAAAATGCTCTAGCTCCACCTCGGCTCACTCCTGCCAAGGCAAAACCATGGCCATGCTTGACGCGGAAAATGCGGTCTGCGAAATTGAAAGGCCAAGCACAACAATTTCACTGCCCACCCTAATGTGTTCCGAGGTCGTATGACCGTCATAGAGCACCAAATTGCCTCAAACAATGTGCCCCATGATCATCTTCAAAAACATGAAATTCCAAGCCAGGCTTCACACATTACAATTAAAACCTCAGCAACTGGCGGAAGAGAAAACCACAATTACAATGCCCAGGCACGCACGGACTCACCTGCGGCTCCACCGTCTTTCACCTGCATCAACCGCCGCGGCCGATCCACGTCTCCGGTCACTTCCCCAAGATCCACGACCTTCAGCCTGGCCCCCACCAAGATCTCACCTTCCGTCGGCATTGGGACACCTCCAAGACCAGAAAGCACCGTGAAAGTTGCCAAATGAAACGTTGGCCAATCACCATCGAGAAGAACAAGTTCAGACCTTAGAACTTGCCAAAATGCCCTCTTCCCTCCCCTGAACCGATCTTTCTGCACGCAGTAGCCTTTTCAGAGGTAAACCCCTAAGACTTAGATAGCTATATCACGCAGATCAAACCAGGCTGCGCAAACTGATGGTTTGGTTTTGATGCACTCAGGTACATGATCCTCTTCCTTCTTGCTTTAAATAGAACGCTTCCCTCCACACCGGTTTGACACCAGCCCATTCACGGACCCTGCACAGTGCAGCTAAGGAACTCAGCACCACGTTTGCGTTTCTGGGACGCCAAATTGATGGACAACTCTCGGTCACAGATCGAAGGAAACAGGGACGCTTCGGGCATCACCCGTCCGTCCGTCTCCACGCCATCCTGAGATCAGCGTTAAGGATGCGCACCATCGAGTCCAGGGCGATCATCCCAGTAGGAACTGAGCTGCATTTGCACAGCATGAAGGTCCCTGGACCAGTTCCTTCTCCTTCCTCTTCAGACTCGGCCTTTTGCGAAGAGGCAATGATCATCTTGAACTGTGGGTAGCGCTTGGCAGTTGCGCATACCCAGTGAACCCTCCCCGAGGTACTGACTGGATGCATCGGGAGCGGGCTGATGGCTGCCAGCTCCTGCAGCGGCGTTTCCACCACTAACCGAGCAGCCGGCACAGGCGGCACCGCTCCCACTTGTGCCGCCACTTGGAATCTTGGCATGGCAACAATACCAGAGTGACACTCGCTTAGCCCCGCTTAAGATGGATGCTCCACACATATTGGCTCAACCACCGGTATGAGCTTGCATTGCATCTCCCCTCGGAATACCGAGTTGTTCTGCATCAACACCAAGATGAGTTATGACATGATGGCCCCTGATGGCCATACTTCTTACAATTGTTTGGGGTCTGTATCAAGTTTGGCTGTTTCATACTGCAGTTTCGAGGCCATGATTAATGACTAGATACAAAATTAGATGTTGTATTATTTTGTATCAAAAAATGTCATCCAATTTAGGGACGATCTGATCTCGCAGATTCCACGCAGTGCCTCATGGAGTACCAATCCGGCCACTGCAGCACAAGATCCTGACCGGTCCCAGCCGGAAGACTGCCATGTTTAATGGTTTGATCATCATGTCATGTGGTGATGGTAGACATTACTTTTGTTATTTACTTCATGGTCATGGCCATGGTTCTTACTATGATGTTTCCTCATGTCAATCAGGTTCCTGGTAATTCGTTCAGGTTGGAACCCCGAGATATGACTTCTCCTCAGTGGAGAAGGAGGCAAAGTGTACGGCAGAAAGTCTTCGGTGCTTCATGACAGTGACCATGCCCCCTGTGGGCCAGAATACACGCACAAAATTTCATGGTCCAGGTGTTACAAAGTAAATGTTCCGTCTTTGGCCACGTTCCCTATTGACGTGTGAGAGATCCACCACTGCTTTTTTAGACAAACAATGTGTCCTGTATTTTTTGGGGGAATTACAAGAAAGTTTTTCTATATGGTTGATCTTGCTGGGATGATTTCCCACCACTTTCAGCCTTAAGAGTTTCACCATGTGCTTTTGTTTAAGGATTCCAAGGGACCTTCAAGCATGTGCTTCATATGTTGAAAGCTTCGTTTCTGCTTTTCGGAAATGCTTCGAAGCTCTTGATGGAAGGGTTCGTCCTTCCAATAGCTGAAGCCAAAGCTTTTGAAAAAGCGACTTGTCACAACATGAAGCATCAGAGCATATCAAAGCCCGCCGACACCCTTTTTGGAGGGTCGGCGGCACCCGGGCGCTAGCCCATTCTATATATAACATGTTATACAGTATATTACAGTACACAGAGTCTGCGAGCTTGCTGTGAGAGGAGGCAGGTGGAGGAGAAAAGGCAAGAAGAGGACAGGAGGAGCTGACGCAAAATTGCTGCTTGTATCCCCATCATTTGTTGATTCAATCAACACATTCTTCCATATGTTCGATCTTAAACCGTGAAAAACTCCTCCATATGACATATTTCCGGAAATCATCTTAAATCAATGTCAAAAACAAATGTGGTCACCTCATCCAGATCTTCATGTTATTCCATTTAATCCTGGTTGGTTAAGAACGGGATTCCCCGTTTCTGGATTATTACAATCCTCAATGACTATGAAGGGTAGTATAATCTCCCCCAATCATCAACCCTGCTAGGGGTAGATCGCAGCCACTGCTCATGTTTCCCCCCGTGTTTTTTGTCGCCTGTTGCAGCATTGAAGACTTGAAATGAGGAGCCCATGCTGGAAGAGAAGGCGAGTAACGGCTCGCACGGGCTCCAGGCAAGGCCTGATAGTGGCTTCATGATCAACGTTGGAAACGTGGGGTGAAAAACGATATTTGATGAACTATATAAAGATAGCAGGGAATTAAATATGATTTTGATATGGTGGATATAGGTTAGTTAAATAAGTCGGTTAGATAGTGTTCATATAATATACATATATATATATATTATACATAGCATTATATATATATAACTGGAATTTACGGTGGACCTAAAACAATCTAAAACCCCAAAAAAAAACAAAAATAGTTTTTGAGTTTTGGTTCTCGGATCCTGAGTGGGACAAACTGCGGTTTCAATGGGAAAACCGTCAGCTGAAAGAAAATGTCGGAATGGTGAGTCGTGTTCATTAATAGAAAGAGTGTTTACGCGATGCCGGGAAATGGAATATACATATAATATATGTATATATATATAAGATTATATAAGTATACAAGTATGATTGGATTTCACTACCAATGATGGGATGTTTGGTGTGCATGTTAAGTCAAACATGTCCGTGTAACGTCATGCAAACGCTATCACAACACCATGATCGCATCTCCGTAGAAAGTCTGTACCATTTCATATTCTCAAATATTCTCACACCATGGGGGACACGTTTACGCGCCACATTTTTGCAAGCATTCAAGTTTGAATAAAGGTCTGCGGACACCAAAAGCATATATGTAATTGTATGTATTTGTATGTATTTGTATGTATTTGTATGTATTTGTATGTATTTGTATGTATTTGTATGTATTTGTATGTGGTGATATTACGGGAAAAACGTCACAACTGCCCCAATCGAAAATATTTGGAGTTGTGAAAAGCACAAAAATTCACGGCGAAACAATGATACACTAATTTCCAGCATTTCCATAGCACCCCAGGTACTCCAGGGATGGCTAACCCGGTTGGCGCCAAGAAGCCAGTAAGGGAGTCTTGCATTCCTTTTCGCGGCGATCAGATTTTTTGGGAGTTTTTTCAGGGTGGTGAGTCCCATCCGTTTTTTTTCGACACCGAAACTATGCTTCGAGTAGGGGATTTACCCTCTGGTGAACTAACATAGCAATGGAAAATCACCATTTTTCATGGGAAAATCCACTATAAATGGCCATTTTCCATTGCTATGTTAGTTCACCAAAGGGTACATGGATTTACACATTCTTGGGACTATTGGGACCATTTAGGTGTTGAAAAAGAAATATGACCCGCTGGTAATTTGTGACGCGAACGGGACAATGGCCCAGTTCGAAATAGTTGATGTAGCTGTTAAAATGGTGATTTTACATATGAATCACCATTTTCCCATGGTTTTCCCATGGTTGGTTTTCCCATGGTTTTCCCATAGCCTCCAGAGGGTATTGGGGATGGGATTATCTGAAGCAATGGATCCCATGGTCGATGGCGGCTGGGGATCAACATAGCTGCTACGGTTCCTCTGGACCCTCTGGTAAACGTTTACACGTTGCGAGGAAAATCGGAAAGATCCACCATGTTTAATGGGTAAATCATGGTAAATCAACTATTTCGAACTGGGCCATGCCCAGTAGCGCAAAAAACATATCCTCAAAACCTCATCCCATTCTACAGATAGTTTCAGAAGTGTCGCCATGCATTGGATAAATCCCCATGTTTCACCACCAATCATCAGAGATGCACTCGGCATCGCTTGGGCTAAGATTCATGGCTAATCCATATTAATCCTATGGGCACTGCAAAAATAGATAAATGTATTAAGTATATGAATGTTCTGAATTGTTTTTGGGAAAATCAATATACCAACATTCATGGTAAAAAAGTAAACCATAAGACTAGCCCTCCCACGTTTACCCAGGTCCCTTCCACTTCTGGCCAAATGCCCATCTGATGTGCTGCATCACTTTGACGTAGCTTCCATTTCAACTGGCCGACATGTCATGGGAAAAAAAAAATCGGCTACCCGGCTACCCATGGCTACCCCTAAATCTACTCAACTTGATCATCATGTTCCATTCTTTTCCAGTGAGATGTACATGTACAGCATGAAAATGCCATTTGTTTGGGCATGTACATGTACAGCAATTTTCAGACACACCCTCATTGCTATGTCGCATCATCAATGGATTTAGGGCTCGGCAAGTGCCCGTCCGCACAAATCCTACCCCCCTGTTCATCTGACATACACCCCCTGAAACCAACCATTGGTTTCATGGGGCGGGGCTGAAATCACATATTTGGGACTCAGGGGCATGGAGGTAGATGGGTTTCGGAATGGGAATGGGAATGGGATGGTTTCCATGGTTTACCCAGGTATGACGACTTGACTCATAGCCACTTGAGCAGTGTTCAAATCCTCTGTACCTTCATACTGATTGGTGGTGTCGCACAATCATGAAGGATGTAGTCCGCAATGCAGATAATTACACTCTGTAGGTCTATAACCCCTTGTCAAACACCAATCAACCATCAACCAACCATCAACCAACCATCAATCAACCGTCAACCAACCATATCTGAAGAAGGTCAAGCCATATTTTTCTTAGTAAATCACCTTAAATATTCTGGTGAACCATTTCGAAGAACCGGATAAAATCTGAAGCTGAATCCCTTGCCGACACCCATGGCTCCCCCATACCCCGTCCTCCCCTTCCAGAGATAAAATCCGCAGAGATGCGTTGATCTCTGCCGAGGCCAGGAAACCTCCACCTAAAGGAACCCACTGCGCAGTGGGTGGGTGATTCTTATGCTTAAAAATGGAGAAGTTGTTGGGGGAAGATATATAGTCTATAGTTGCCTTGATCTCAACATGAAATTTTGGGATAGGATTGATTCTGATGGATATCTAGGAACGGAAGGAACGGAATGTTTTATAAGTTTTGGAGATATCCACAGAAAAGAATCTGGCTTGATTATATGGGAAATCGATTATTTTGTCTATGAAATTATAGCTATATTCTGAACTGATTTGTTGGTTTGATCTCAACGTCATGATAATCTTTGGCATATTGAAATAGCTCGATTTTTGATATGTCTTGATTTATAGGGGTATGTTATATATAGCCAACAATATCTATATGCATATTAATATGCATATATCAGCAATATATTGGTCCGAGCAGCTAATGTTCAAGTAATGTGGATAAATTGCTAATAAACCATCCCCCAAATCACCATTTCTATAGGTGGTAGGTTTACCATTCCCAAATGGGTGGTTTATGGCATTGCTTTAACCACATTACAAGTTTTTTTATTTACCAACATATCCAACTTGGAAAATCACAATTCTTAATGGGTAGATCAACTATTCCTATGGCAATGTTCAATAGCTTTGTTGAATTGCCAGTGGGCATATCCATCAATATTCCAGTATTATCCCATCAATATCCCATGATCATCCCTATAAAACCATATTGAACCATAGTAAACCCATTAAACCCATTAAACCTCCATTAGTTTACCAGAGGGTAAATTACGCTCTCTGCAGCTTTCTTCTCATCCTGAACGTCCGCTCGAGGTCTCCAAGATATATCGGCAGAATCTGGCAGATTTCTGAACGCCCCGCACCACAGAGCATCAAGCTGAAAACGTTTCTATAAATAATATAAGTATAACATTGAGTATCAATTATCATTTTTTATATGACATATTTAAAACCCATGGTTTTTGTACATCAAATGAAACCATCTCATCATGAGATCATCTCTGTCATCTGTCGAGTCACTGGGATCCCACTTGAGATGCGCTGCAGGTTGTTCGACATGCCAATTGTCCTTCTCTTGTCCTTGAACCTTGGCATGACGCCCCAAAAATTTCCACGGATTCAACCAAGATTCACCGGATGGGGTCAATGACCGGAAAATCCCAACTAAACAACAATTGGGACATTGTGCCAAGAAAATAGGAGCAGATCGGTATCCAATAGGATTTTAGATGTTTTTAGGCTGGAGGTTTCAAATGATCCAAAAGCCTCCCCCAAGTGGGGGGATCAAGGAACCAAAATCGGGATTTTCCCGTTACAAAAACCATGGGATTTGACTTTAGCGAACCAAAAAAAAAAAATAGTGTTCTCCAAATTTTGGAGTTTAACATGTTCTAAAGAAAAACCTGTTTTTTTAACTGTCATGTTCAACGAAAATCTTGAACGAATCCATTGGATTTCAGGACCTTTCAGGTGGACCAGTCCCGGAGTGAGTGAAAGTCAGTTGGGAAGGATGACATTCCTTTTTTTTGTGAAATGGAACATAAAATTCCATGGTTTGGAACCACCAACCATATATATATATATGGTTAATGTAGTATACCGATTAATGTCACGGGACCCTATAGTGATTTTTTTGAAATATTCAGTAGCCTGCAAAATGGTGGGGGTGGGCCTCTATTGTGAGATTTTTTTCGCGGATCCAATTTTCCAGGAGGAGTTTTATCCACCTTTGTACACCTTTCTTTGGGTAAAGCTGGTCCATTTACCGTAGAAAACCATATCCATGTTAAAGCCTTGAAAATGCAAGGTTCCCCAAATAATTAAATACCTTACTAAACCCTTATTAAAAAAACGACTGCAGCCAAACAATTTTTCAAGGGGTTACCCCATGAGTGACCCAGATCCTCAATAATATAATTGGTTGGATGGTACTCTATTGTGCACAAAAAGTTTTGGGGTGAAAAGAACAAAACCCTTTATCCACCTTTCTTTGGGTAAAGATTGATTTCAATTGAAATCCTTTCTTATCAATAGATTTCTTTGAGGTTTAACAAAAAAACAATTGAACGTATTTATTGATTTCAATTGAAATCCTTACTTAAGTTGATCATCCTGAGTTCCCCAAACTTGGTCCCCAAGAAAATGCTGAATTATTGAGTAGACCAAAATTGTTGAGGGGGGGGCCCTACACTAATCAGTATCCAACATTATGTATGTAGTATGTATATATGTTTATATATTATAATTATGTCCCTAATCACTGTTGTGGTTGCTTCCAACCCATACAGTTCTTGGTTTGACCAACCATTCACCAGTCGTTTTACCGACTTTTTGCTGGTGAAAGCACAACTTCTGTGACTGCGAACAACCCCCAAGTCTATTCGTTTGTTCACTGTTTGCTAAATCCCAATTTTTGCCGTCTAAACCCCCACTTCTGCTGTTCGTATATCCCCATTATTGGAAGGAGTACGGCCCATGACCTGATGATTGCTGATGCAGCCCAATAGAAACTGCCGAGTTGCCAGGTCAAACAAAGAGATGCCATCAATTCTGGCAATGGCCAAAAGCACGTTATCCTGAGCGTTTTCGCTTGGAAAAATCATCGAACTAGTTTCTGCTTGGGATTATGTGGAAATCATTATTGATACACCCTCAAATAATAAAGCAGCAATGGGTGGTCGAAACGATCCCGAAAAGTGGTTTGTTTATCACTTAGGGTGTACCACATAATTGTGAGGTTTTCTTGTAGTGTAGACCTGTTGCATGCATTCATCATCATAATCACCGGTGGTTCAATGGCGGTTTACACTCTATATATGGATTTATGTTCACTAGAGGGGAAAGGGCATAGAATTGCAATCTTTCCAAAACCTGAAAAGTTTTGCAAATTTAGTGTTTCCCCCGTGCTAGCCCTCATCTGTTTTTTTAAATAAGATAACCCTACCAGCTATGCGTTTCACATCATCACCTCATGACATTTAGATATTTTTGGGGTGTGACCACTTCTTGGACAAACCACGACAAACCTATCTAATCACATCTAGTCTGCCTGTGAGCTCCTTATAAATTTCGTCGAGATCTAAAAATGACTATTTTTCCCCACCTGTGAGGTGAGGGTTGTTAGATTTTATGTCAGCCTGCCCGCCTCCTTCCTCCTCCTTCCTCCTCCTTCCTCCTCCTTCCTCCTCCTTCCTCCTGCTTCCTCCTCCTTCTTCTGCCGGACCTCAACTGCAAGCTCTAGATCGCCGTGTTCCCCGCCGGACCCCAACAGCAACCTCTGGATCAAAGTGATCCTCGCCGGACCTCAACTGCAAGCTCTAGATGCGGTGTTCCCCGCCGGACCCCAACAGCAACCTCTGGATCAAAGTGTTCCCCGCCGGACCTCCACCACAAGCTCCGGATCAGAGCGTTCCCCGCCGGACCTCCACCGCAAGCTCAGGATCAGAGTGTTGCCCGCCGGACCTCAACCACAAAGAATCTCCGAGGATATACCAGATAGAATGCCAGAAAGAATGTCAGAAGGTATGCCAGATACATATGCCAGAAAGAATGTCACAAGATATGGCATATATCGGGTTTCTTTCTTTCTAAAAATAGAATGTGAGACGGATGATCCATCACTTGCGGCAGTAAGATTCAATCACTTGCGGCAGTAAGATAAAAATCACTTGCGGCAGTAAGATTCAATCACTTGCGGCAGTAAGACTCTTCAAAACCAATCACTTGCGGCAGTAAGAATATTGAAAACCAATCACTTAGTGCAGACAAACAATACATTAGGGGAGCCTAGATGAGGGATACACAACCGCTACTCCACTTCAACCTTGGGGGGTGGGGTGGGGCTAGGGAAGAAAAGGGTAAGATCTACCAACCACAACCGTTGCTTACCTTCATTATAGGGAAACGGAACCGCTACTCCACTTCCTGAGACTAACCATCCCACTTCAACCTTGGGGGTGGGGTGGGGCTAGGGAAGAAAAGGGTAGGATCTACCAGCCACAACCGTTGCTTACCTTCATTATAGGGAAACGGAACCGCTACTCCACTTCCTGAGACTTCCCACTTCAACCTTGGGGGGTGGGGTGGTGCTAGGGAAGAAAAGGGTAGGATCTACCAACCACAACCGCTGCTTACCTTCATTATAGGGAACCGCTACTCCACTTCCTGAAACTAACCATCCCACTTCAACCTTGGGGGGTGGGGTGGGGCTAGGGAAGAAAAGGGTAAGATCTACCAGCCACAACCGTTGCTTACCTCATTATAGGGAACCGCTACTCCACTTCCTGAGACTAACCATCCCACTTCAACCTTGGGGGGTGAGGTGGGGCTAGGGAAGAAAAGGGTAAGATCTACCAGCCACAACCGTTGCTTACTTTCATTATAGGGAACCGCTACTCCACTTCCTGAAACTAACCATCCCACTTCAACCTTGGGGGGTGGGGTGGGGCTAGGGAAGAAAAGGGTAGGATCTACCAGCCACAACCGTTGCTTACTTTCATTATAGGGAACCGCTACTCCACTTCCTGAGACTAAACATCCCACTTCAACCCTGGGGGGTGAGGTGGGGCTAGGGAAGAAAAGGGTAAGATCTACCAGCCACAACCGTTGCTTACCTTCATTATAGGGAACCGCTACTCCACTTCCTGAGACTAACCATCCCACTTCAACCTTGGGGGGTGGGGTGGGGCTAGGGAAGAAAAGGGTAGGATCTACCAGCCACAACCGTTGCTTACCTTCATTATAGGGAAACGGAACCGCTACTCCACTTCCTGAGACTTACCAACCCACTTCAACCCTGGGGGGGTGGGGTGGGGCTAGGGAAGAAAAGGGTAGGATCTACCAGCCACAACTGGCCACAACCATTGCTTACCTTCATTATAGGTAAACAGTTTAATATTAACCATCAAAAATCGTGCTTGTCTGCCGTTCCCCAAAAAATCAAATCGCTTATTGAACCCTTATTAAAAAACAGTTTTTCGAGAAATTTCAAAGGCACTGGGTCATGAGATGATCCAATTCACTTTAGTAGGTTTGTTCTGAGGGTTCACAATTGCAGCAACATTTTCCAGAGCTGATCCTAGAGCCAAGAGAAGAAAGGTAGGCCTTTTCCAAAAGCAACTGCCAAGTTCAAATCCCAAGTCCCAGCCGCTTACTGCCACAAGCGATTGGTTTTGTATACCCTGGCATCAAAGACACTCACTTACCGAGCGATAGATTTTTTACCGCCACAAGCGATTGAAAACGGAAAAGCAATCTTCCCGCCACAAGCGATTAGGCCTTCAAATGCTGCACCTGCCACGCAAAAACAGCAATCACCTGCGGCAGTAAAAAAAACACTTGCGGCAGTAAAAAAAATGAACGTTTTTACTGCCACAAGCGATTGGCACATCTTACCGCCACAAGCGAGGTATCAGCCTGCGAGACAGGATGCCAGAATAGATGCCAGAAAGAATGTCAGAATAGATGCCAAATAGAATATCAGAACGGATGCCAGATAGAATGCCAGAGAAAATGTCAGAATAAATGCCATCAAGGATGCCAGATAGGATGTCAGAATAGATGGCTGATAGAATGCCAGAATAGAATGTCAGATAGAATTCCAGAATAGAACGTCAGAAAATATGTGCCATATGTACTTCCAGATGAGATGTCAGAAACTATGACAAAATAATGTCATGGTGGGGATTGCCCGAAGTAAAGTAATTTCAATGGAGGTGTCCTATGTTTCCTGAAATAAGGGTACCCCCAAATCATCCATAGATTGATTTTCCATAAGATAAACCATCTATGGTTGATATATGGATATATATATATATGGAGGTTTCCTGAAATAGGGGTACCCCAAATCATCCATTTATAGATGGATTTTCGATAACAAAAACCATCCAGCTATTGGGGTACCTCCATGACGACATGGAAAGCTGTAACCTGGCCGAGCAGCAGGGTGCAGCGAGAGACCAAAGACATCCTCAGCTTGATCCAGTCACCAATCAGGCATACAACTGGCGCAAGCAACAAAAAACTGGCGCGTAAGATTCCCTCTGGTTATTTAACATAGCCATGGAAGCCATGACCCATTTATAGATGCTTGTCCCAGCTAGAAACCTCCATTTACAAGGGATTTTCCATGGCTATGTTAAATAACCAGATGGTACATATCATTTGAGCCATCTAAAGAATACCCCAGTTCCGACCCTCTAGTAGAACTGAAAGTGGCCCAAGACATGGCGAAATGACAAGGAGCCCTCCTCCCGGGGGTGACTAGCCCCTGGCCCCAAGCACAGCCCGATAAATACAGCTGCCAAAGGCACGGACTCTTGCGTTAGAATCTCTTCGGTGCCAGAAGCAATGTCCTGGGCAAGGCTCACACAGTGCTTTGTGCAGTGCTTGGATGTTCACCAAACATGACACGAGCGACACGGAATCACTTTGGACCCACAAATGACTGGTGATTGTGCTGAAGAGCACTACCGTCACTGAATCAGAGTCATGTGGTCCGTACTATCAAACCCATTATAATAGTTATTATAGTCTAGTTATAAGCTATGATAGTCACTACAGCTATTGTAGTTATAATCATTGAAAGTCCCTGGTAATGGGAAACAGTCTCTGCGGGATCGTCACTAAGCGACAAGTCGATGAAGATAGGATATTCAGGTGGTTGAAACAACCCAAAGAGATCCAACAAACATTAAACGAAAAATTTAGACATTGTGGGAAATAGTCTTATAATATCTTATAATACTATAATGTATTTTGTAACTGTGTGTACATATTATATATATATATACATATATATATATGGGTAGATTATAATATTTCACTAACCTGAATTCTTGGGCCATTTGGGGACGATTTCCCTTATTAGCCATGATTCCAGGCTTCGGTCGCGATGTGAGGTCTTATAATTTACCCAGATATTTGATATACATGTGACATGTGTGTATAACATGCCAACGTGGCAAAGGATTGGGAACACCACCTTCTACACGTGTAGCATTCAGATGTTGAGCATCCACTAGAAGGACCAACTGGTCCAAATTTGGCAGTGTTCAAAACCCGAAGTATGTCATTCTGTCGTCCCAAAAATCTTTTTTAGTGCTTGGTTTTTTGAACTCGATTCCCAGTTCATGGATTACGATAATCCCCAATGATTACCATCTGGTTATTTAACATAGCCATGGAAAATCCACCCATTTGTAATTCTATTTCTATGGGCCATCGAAAAACCATGGCTATGTTAGTCATAACCAGAGGCTATTGGATATCACTGATTCATATCCCATATTTCATGATCAACCAACAGGGGTCCAGCCACAGAATCTGAGAAAAACAGTTTCTATATGGCAGTGTGTCAAAACCTTGTACCCCTGGTGAACATCAAAATAGCTGGTAAATGGATGTTCATCCCCCTAAAAATGGTATTAATAGGTATTGATCCATAGCCATATCAACTTTTTTTGGTTTCTTGAAGTGTGGCTAACTCAATTCGTAGCTGATAGAATATGAACCCCTCCAATGGATTGTTGAAAAAATGTGGGCGCCATGACCTCAATGACCTCTATGAAAATATCCCCCATAAAGCCCAACAGTTCAGCTGCTGAGAGCTCCACAATCCTCCGGCAAAATCCAAAATCTGGTGATTGGGATGTGATACGAAGACCCTTTTTAGTGATCCGAAACCTCCCAATGTCTATATGATTGGCTCTATCTCCATTAATGATATTCCCATTGTCTAGTAATATCATGAATTATATGGTTGGGAAACTCCATTCGAAGCTCCTTGGCTAGCTCCCCATGTTTGTTCGCTAGCTCCAAACCGCTCTCTCCGTCCACCACTGGACAGTATTAGCCTCTGTGAACCCGGAAATTTCGGGAAAACCATGGAAAACCTCTTCCGACTCATTGCACTTCTGATTCAAAGCCAAACTTGGCTGAGAGTGTCACGCCGTAGTTTTAGTTGCACCGGAAAAAAGTACTTCTTCGTATAAATATTTCACCAACATAGCAAACAAACTTAGTCATATAATGTGTTATATTAAATATATATATATTAGTGTTATGTCTAAAGTTGGTTAATTACATCCAGTGTATCCCCATAAAATCTTCCCAAGTTTGTTCAGCTTTGGGGGCACCAGTGCCGCCAAGGAACGCAAATGATCACTTCTCCTTAAGTGACAAAAAGTGGCGCGGTAAGTATGGTCAATTTTTGATCAACACTGACCAATGGGGAACACCCCTGATCATTGCGACTTTCATCAAAAAAAATACAGTTTTAAACCAATTTTAAGGCATATAGCTACACCCGAAAAGAGAGAAAAGTAAAATCTTATTAATAGTTTGTGAAAAACTGTTGTTTGATCCTTTTGTGGTTCCTACCGTTGCTATACCGTAGTTGCGGTCAAACCCGTATCAGGCTGGATGATCATCGCACTTGCAGAATTCCGTCATGTCCATCCGGATTTTTTCTTCGTAGTTGGCTCGGCCCGGCAATCAAACCGTTAGATGCCACCCTTACATGACACATGTTCAGAGACATGCTGGTTTTTTAGATCAAAACAAAAATAAAGCAAAACCAAATAGGGTATATCTGTATGGCTCACTCTGGTTTCTGGCACCAAACAGTTTAAATAATTTCAACACATGCGTGGGGAACAACTTCAACGTGTCGTCTGGATACAGTAAATGATCATGTTTGGCTGTGGGACAAAACCCTGGGACCCTGTAGTTGACATGAAAATAACTGGCAAATGGATTTTCAGCCGGTCCCCAAAAAATGGTATGGCCCGGCTCATTTCGCGAACCTGTGATACTTACGGCCAATCTAGGGATCCGTCATACATCATCGTAAACGAACGATGAGGTCCTTGTGGATTATTATTAGCACCCTCCATCCTCAGCAGGTCTCCCCCCCAATGAGCCCCTGTGTTTCAAGATATGTACCCTCAACCCCAACAATGGACCGGCAATGTGCAATCATTGTTCGGAAATTTCTAAAAACTACCCCAGATCCTTTTTTGATATCCATGTAGAGACAAAGTGTTCCCAGCTGTAAACCTCCATTTACGATGGGTTGGTCACGGGTTTGTCCAAAACGGGGTACCCCAAAAATCCAATGCTTTGGAAAATCAACTTGCCTATTTAAGTTGCCATACTTTGGGTACATCATGGTGAATCTTATCTTGACACACCCTATCCACAATTCATTGGTTCAATTTCTCTTTTCGATGCTTAAGATTCCCATTTGGGGCACGTGACCCCCAGACCACATTTTGAGGCAAACACTTCTTTGAGTAGTGGTTTCAATCTAAAGAATTTGGTCAACCATCCAAATAGTTTAGGTTGAAAATAAAACATGTTTGAAACCACCAACCAGATCGTCATTGGTTATATACCCATGAAATATCCGATTGCTTGTTGGTAGTTATATCATCAAATCTCATTAACCTCAATCAGTTTACCATCGGGGTATAGCCTATCATTCTGTTAAGTTGGTTCATTAAAAGAAAAAACATCAGATTATATAAATATAATATATAAAACAAATACTGTATATCCCCAATCCCTTTTTTCCCGCGTGCCTAGCAAGGCTTCCGGTTTCACCGGGGGTCTGGGGTTTGAACGTGTGTTCGCTCGACCTTGCGTTTACGACCGCAACCGTCCGCAACCTTCCGCGTGAGGGCCGTATGGCCGTGCCTATGGTAAGTTTTGCAAAGATGGTCATTTTTGGAGGTTTCAAACGTCGCGTTGCTTCGTTTCGCGTGGCAGGTGTGGCATTTCGTGACATTCAGACGTGTTTTGTAACGTGTCGAAAGTCGCTTTGTGTGGCAGACGCAATACTTTTGCGACGTTTTCAGAAGATCCGTTGCAGTTTTCGCGGCAGGCGCAGCACTTTAGACGTGTCCATCGTCATTTTGCGTGGCAGGCGCAGCTTTTTAGACGTGTCGCGCTGCGTGTTTTTTGTGAATCGCATTCTCAGGGCTGCGTCAAGTGGCGACAAGGTGCAAATTCCGTGGCAGGCGTGGCACTTTGTGAGATGTGATGAAAATTGACGGAAGCCTTGCACGAAACATCGATTTTGAGGTAGCAAATTTGAAGTCGTAGGAAAACGTCGATTTTGAAGCTACAAATTATGAAAATTGGAGGAAGTCTCGCACGAAATGCTCGTTTTGATGCTCCAACGCGTCTCATCTCGAGTCTCTGGTTTTCCTGTGGCCTCGCCGTGTCTAAGGGGGAAGCTGAAACCTCTCCTTTTCGAAGGTTTCCAAGCAGGTTGTGATGCCGTTTTGCGTTGCAGGTGTGGCACTTTGTGACATTCCAACCTGTTTGACAACGTGTCGAAAGTCGTTTTGTGTGGCAGGCACAATACTTTTGTGTCGTTTTCACAAGATGAGTCGCAGTTATCGTGGAAGGCGCAGCACTTTGGAGACCTCCATCGCCACTTTGCGTGGCAGGCGCAGCACTTGGGTTGCAGGATTTACCATAAAACAAAGCCAATTCCCAAAACATCTTGTTTCCGTCCGATGCAACTCTTGCCTTCCTCACTACCTTGCAATGGATTCTAAACATGTAATTGAGGGATTTGAGGATTTCCATGTGCGGATTGATGGACATATCCCAGTGGGGCCAATGAAATTCGAGGAAGTGAGATTCTGGAACTTTGGTATCAAGCCAACTTATTTAAACCATCTCGTGCGGATTTGCAGACTCATGAGTAAAGATGAAGAAATATTGCTGACATTTGCTGAACCAGCTAAATTATGGCGAGAATCCAAGAGCGTACGTTCCTTTTGCCTTGGGTCATTGTTGTGTTGATCACTGTTTCCTGATTTTATTCGATTTCCGGTCCCTTTAGTGTCTATCCTAGGCAGTCCTTAGCTGGGTAGGCAAGGTTCGCCCGGAGGTTTGAACGAGTTCTGGGGTAGTAAGCCTGGCCTGGATGACCGGCACCTGGCCGGGATGACCGGCACCTGGCCGGGATGACCGGCACCTGGCCGGGATGACCGGCACCTGGCCGGGATGACCGGCACCTGGCCGGGATGACCGGCACCTGGCCGGGATGACCGGCACCTGGCCGGGATGACCGGCACCTGGCCGGGATGACCGGCACCTGGCCGGGATGACCGGCACCTGGCCGGGATGACCGGCACCTGGCCGGGATGACGTGTTCACATTTTTGGAATTTAAACTTGCGCCCATCCATCCAGACATACAGACATACACATTCACACATATAGACCCATACGGACATATATACACACATACAAACATACAGACGGACTGACAGACGGCCGGACAGACATCCAGACATACAGACGGACTGACATACGGCCGGACAGACAGACATGCATACATAGAAGCACACACACGCAGATACGGACATACATACATGCATGCATACATGCATACAGACATACATACATACATACATACAGACACACACACATACATACATACATACATATATAATTAGGTTTATGTAATGACATACAAACATTAGGATATTTCTGGGGTCCCGCCAAATGACATTTCGATATCTTATGCAATAGATGAATGTATACTTGCTAGGACCCGAATAATTCCACTGTAGCCACTACAGTGGAATTTTGGTGTCCCTAAGAAAGGACCATCAAAATTCCAAGTTTACAGACCAATGGGGTGCGGTTCCATGTCTATAGTTCCTAGATAGATAGATAGATAGATAGATAGATAGATAGAAAGATAGATAGATAGAAAGAAAGATAGATAGATCGATAGATCGATAGATAGATCCATAGATCGATAGATAGATAGAAAGATAGAAAGATAGATAGCAAGACAGGTAGATAGCTAGATACATATATAATTAGATACACAGATAGGTAGATAAATAAGGGTTGATGGGTTTGACAAAAACAAAGCAAATTTCCACGGGAAAAACTAGACACTTTTACTGCGCCATCCCTGATCATGAAGTTTAGGGCGGTATGCAAGTCTAACTGGAGCACCATCGTCCCACTTGATTGCGAGCAACGCAAAAGATACACGCATAAGGTTTCAACTATAAATCCAGGTCCACAGCAGGTCAAACGCGCACTCTCTAGAATGCTGCATGCCGTGGATAGAAATCGCATATTCCCTTCTGCAGGACGCGGTTCTCAAGTTTGTTGCGATTGCAAGCCTGAAAGCTTTCCATGGTGCCACGGTTACGCGCCAATTGACTTGTATGATTCTAGCGGCGCAATCATAGCCAGCTTCCTCAGAATTTCTTACCTTGTGCAGCATGTCAAATTTCGGTTTTCAATGGTCCCGCCCAGGGGACCCCAAAAATTCCAGCGCAGGTCCTGCGCTGGAATTTTGGGGGTCCTTCCAGACAGACCCCCCTAGCATTTTCATGTCCCCAGTTGCACATCATGTGGGTTATGTCCCTGCTGGGGGACCCCAAAAATTCCAGCGCAGGTCCTGCACTGGAATTTTGGGGGTCCCCCCAAGAGGGACCACCAAAATTCCAGTAAGGATCTGCGGACAAGTCAAATGAGGTCTCCTCCTCCCTTTTTCTCCTCCTTTTGTAATACCTGAATAATTGCGTTCCTTCTCCAATCCCTTCGCCTGTTGTGCTGTGCCTTTTTGCTATGTACTGATTTCCCATTGCATTTACATCTTTCAGGTAGAATGTCATACGGCAGGATAGTTTCATAGTTTCAGATTGTATGACCAGAGCATGTTTGCTATGGCGATTCTCAACAGAAAGGATCTGAGCCACATCATATCTGCCAGGTGAGGATTCTCAACCCCTGTTGTTTATACAGGTTGTTTCTGCCGCTGTATGAGGTGGCGCCGGAAAACCTTGTCTGGAAGCATGCTTTAACTTGCATCAAACAACAACTTGCCTAATTACCCTTCAAGTACAGGTGTATACCGAAGAACAGTGTCTGCATGATTGGATTGAATTCCTTGATGTAAAATCTTGCTTCCTACAACCCTGAAGACAGAAAGATAGATAGATAGATAGATAAATAGACCGACCGACAGACCGACGGACCCACCGAGCGAGCGAGCGAGAGAGAAAGAGAGAGAAAGATACAGCGAGAGAGAGAGAGAGATAGAAAGATAGATCGACAAACGAGACAGACAAATAGATAGATATGTGTGTTTGTATGGATACACCGGTATACACACATTGTTTTCAAACGTAAACAAAAATCAACACACACATATTTATTTAATTAATTTATATACCTATTTACTATTTATTTATCTATTGTTTTATTTATTTAATTACTTATTTATTTATTGTTTATTTATTTCTTGAAAATATTAAAACCATTTGTGTTTTCAAAAAATGAAAATAGAAAATAGATGTAAAGAAGAAAGAAAGAACAAATGAAAAAAATAAAGAAATACTATATAGTAATACATATAGTAATATATATATATGAAAATTGAATATATTCATATAAATATATATATACATATATATAGAAAGTTTAAAAACACAAATAACTATATATAGATATAATATAAAGACTTAAAAAAAATATATCTATATATATACTTATATAATCTGATAAAGATACAAATAAAAAGATATATGACCCATAAATATACCTTTTCATTTTAAGCATTACCAGCGATAAAGAAAAATGCATTGACCAGTTACCGGACATCCCGGCCTTGCACCGGACATCTCAAGGCAGGTGCCGGACATCCCAGGTGCCGGACATCCCGGCCTTGCGCCGGACATCTCAAGGCAGGTTCCGGACATCTCAAGGCAGGTGCAGGACATCCCGGCCTTGCACCAGACATCTCAAGGCAGGTGCCGGACATCCCAGGTCCTTGTGCCGGACATCCCGGCCTTGCGCCGGACATCTCAAGGCAGGTGCCGGACATCCCAGGTGCCGGACATCCCAGGTGCCGGACATCCCGGCCTTGCGCCGGACATCTCAAGGCAGGTGCCGGACATCCCAGGTGCCGGACATCCCCGGACATCCCGGCCTTGCGCCGGACATCTCAAGGCAGGTGCCGGACATCTCAAGACAGGTACCGGACATCCCGGCCAAGCGCTGGACTTCTTGATGAATAGCATAAAAGATCATAAAAGTAGTCCACGGAGCAAATCGTTAACCCTACCAGTAGCAAACTGGCCCACGGAGTGTTTACGGACCAAATCCTCAACCCTATTGGGTTCGCATTCTTTCCTTCTTCTGAGCAAAGTCAGCTTTAGCAGTAGCTAGCATGCCCATGTTTCTGAATATCTCGCCATAATTTAGCTGGTTCAGAAAATGTCAGCAATATTTCTTCATCTTTACTCATGAGTCTGCAAATCCGCACGAGATGGTTTAAATAAGTTGGCGTGATACCAAAATTTCCAGAATTATTGGCCCGATTAGGATATGTCCATCAATCCATACATAGAAATTCCAAAATCCCTCACTAATACTTTTATGTGTAGAACCCCGTCAACTACCTTGCCATGGTTGGAAAGATACTTGGAAAAATATTGAGGAAGTGATGTACAATCTTCAGATGTATTTCAAAGATAGATCTGCTTGATTGGCTTTGATTCCTGTTCATAAAATGTTGTTTCCTGCAACCCTGACTTCAGACGTGTCGCATTGCGTGCTCTACACTCCACACTCCGCACTCTACACTCCACACTCCACCCTCTACACTTCACACTCCACATTTTATATTCCACACTTTACACGCTACACTCTTTACACTCTACACTTTACACTCCACACTTTACACTCCACTCTTTACACTCCACACTTTACACTTTACACTCCACACTCCACACTTGACACTCCGCACTTTACAGTTTACACTCCACACTCTAAACTTTACACTCCACACTTTGCGCTCCAAACTTTACACTCTACACTTTACACTCCACACTCTACACTCGACACTCCACACTCTACACTTTACACTTTACACTCCACACTTTACACTCCACACTTTACACTCTACCCTTCACATTCCCCACTCTACACTCCACACTCTACACTCCATACTCACACTTCACACTCCACACTCCACACTGTACACTCCACACTTTACACTGTACACTCTACACTTTACACTCCACACTTTACACTCCACATGTTACACTCCACGCTCCATACAGTGCACTGGTACGGTAACAGGGGAAAAATGTACAAGACTGTTCAAATAACTTGTTTCACAAAAGTGTTCTACGTGACTGCATTCGGGTTCGTGGGCTGCATCTTGTTTTTGTAGGAATTACATGCCATGATCATTGGAGACAAACCCATACAAACCCTAGATTTGGATTCCAATGGCAGTGGATTGACATCGGAGATTCACATCAGTGGAGCGAAAAAATCTTGACCCAAACGTTCACGAGATCATCCACTGATCAGTCCAAAAATGGGTATCGGGAAAATCCCAGCATGTTCCACATGTTTTTCTATATCATTCCATGATATCTCCATATCTAGCGAAAATTGGAGCAAAATGCCATAGAATTCATCCAAGGCGCTAGAACTCGCAAAGATCAACTTTCGTCCATCCGCTGTCCACTGAAAGTCCGACGTCTCGACGCCTCGCCAGTGGCGCATCGGACATGGGGATTCAACATGTTTTAACTGGGGAAAGTGTGAACATAATGGAGATATAATGGGTACCCTCTGGTAATTTAACATAGCTATTGAAAATCACCATTTTTAATGGGAAAATCCACTATTAATGGTCATTTTCAATAGCTATGTTAAATTACCAGAGGGTACATGCTGGATTATATGACCACCGATATTTTTGATTGAGCTTGTCTGAAAATGAACGGTGATTTAACTGTGATTCACCCAGAACTGGAGATGCAATTGGATATTTGGATATAGATATGGGATATTCACATAACCAACAGTATCTCCCCAACTTATCGTTGTTCAATCAGAAAATGATGGTTTACCACTAGATTTGCGGCTATACAGTATATACACCGTATTTTCAGACAAACCCACATGCGTGGAAGGTGGGAGTCTCAGGAATTGTAAATAAGTATAATAAGAGAGTAGAAGTTTGTTCGTATCATGACTATGAACCACACACTATAACTGAGATGAAAAGCCAAGCAGTCATTGAGGACAAAACACATACACAAAATTAGATTTTATGTGATTTTATCAACCCAAAAACACGTTGCAATACCGCAACTGCTACCTGGACCTGGACCTGTTGGGACTCAACCCCAGAATTCGGTGCCAAAAAACCGACGGTCAAGAAGCCCTGGTATACCCTGGTATACCCTGGTTGTTGGTTAAGAAACCCATGAAGAAGCCCTATCTATAAGATTCTATAAGCCTCCCGTCATGTCAAGAAGTCCAACGGCCTGGAGTAATCTCCCTTTCGAAGATGAGCAAAAAAAAACATTGCCACATAAAACGAACCACTAAAACACTCTCATCGAAAAACGAATCGATTTAATCGTCATGTCTCAAAAACATATCCCCATGTTTGGTACCTACGGTAACCGTAAGTTACTTTGGTGCAGATCTTCCATGATTCTCCCAATCTCAACCAGCTCAACCAGTTGCCAGTCCCTATCCACGGCCAAAATCGCCTGCAACTTGTTGAAATTTTCGGCTCCAGGGCTCTTGACCTTCACGAGTTCATGGCTTTCTTCGCACTAAGTGGAGCTTTTTAAATGGTTTAACCCTTTAAAAAAAGACAAGAAAATGGGGCTTAACATGATTTAACCCTTATCTTTAAAAATGTGAGTTGACTTTAAACACCAAGTTAGTAACATGCTTTAACATCGTTTATCCCGTATTTTATCCCTTACACGGTTGAAAAAACAAGTTGGTAACTGGCTGAAATTACGGGATTCTCATGACTTGGTAGCTCATCCCAGTGGCTGGCCCATCACCGACACAACTGGCCCAAAAAAACCGGCCCATCAGCGGCTACGGAAATCCATGGTGATTTCCCCGTCCAAAATCCCGGCTATCCATTCTGGGTGTTCCATATCTGGTTGGTGGTTTTTCGCCCTACCTCTCTGAAAAATCATGGGGTGAAAGTCAGTTGGGATGATGACATTCCCAACTGTTTCTGGAAAGTCATAAAATTCCATGGTTCCAGTCACCACCAACCAGCTAACTATGTATATCAATGTTACAAATTTCAGGGGGTTGATACTTCCTGTTTCCAACTGGGTTCATTAAGCACCAACAGTTTAGACTGATACATGGGGGTTTCCTAAGTCATAGGGGTACCCCTAAATCATCCATTTGAATAGGATGTTCCATGTATAAACCCTCCATCTATTGGGGTACCCCCATGACGACATGGAAACCCCCAATGATCGGCCACTGGGGCTTGATCTAATCTAAGGTCATCAGAAAGAGATGTCTCCCCGATATCCACAATATCTGCTTCGTTTACACCAAATTTAATGCACTCTCTTATGGTTTGGTGCACTTTCTCAACACAACTGGACCTCCCTTACTAAAGTAGTCTACGCTTATTTTGACCGTATCTCATGGTGAGAGACATTAGGTCGGTCGTTCTGAATAGACCTGTCCGGACATAGAAAAATTGGTTGAATGAAGGCACTTGAGGACCGCAAATTCGTTGATCATTCGTTTGAGTGAGCCATGCAAACCAAGCACCGGGATGTTTCAGATTTTTGTCCCAAATGGGGATGCAAAATAAATACCAAACATCCCGCGGCACAAAACAAAATAGAAGTTCTATTCTACTGAAAGAATGGTTGAGTACTAAATGTGTTTTTATTTTTTTGCTGTGGATTAGATTACCATAGTTTAGAAACCACCCCACGACTTAGGTTTAACTCCAGTTACCATCGTTGTTTTTGATTCATCCCTGGATTTCGGTATAGTAAAATATCCCCCAATTTCTGTGGGAAAAATCTGCACCAAGACTCCGGTGGAGATATCATAAATCCACGCCAGATTCTTCGCCCGCACAGCCAACATGGTGATGTTCACGGGATTCCAACTGACCACATATGGAGACCTTGCTGCGACTCGCTGCTGCTCTCAACGAAAATGAGGATTTTTGATATGGCCATGAGGGAGAATGGAAGATGACCAACTAAGATAACTACCCTCTGGTAATTTAACATAGCCATTGAAAATGGCCATTTATAGTGAGTTTTTCCATTGAAAATGAGGATTTTCCATAGTTTTTTGTATGTTTACCAGAGGGTAACTGAACAACTAAGTTAAGAAATTATGTCGTTAGCTCGGTTGGATTTGTATGGTAGATATGCTAACATCACTGTGGGACACAACAGTGTCAGTGTGTTAGGCCCAGGTCCTGCTTGGATGTGCCATGAAATATCACCATTATGTCATTATGATGTTACCATTTTTTTTGGTGAAAATATGTGAAAATCATTATAGCCCACCATGTTTCCCATCTCCCCTGTTTAATCCTGTTTACACTCCCAACCAACCAATCAACTGACCATCGGACGGCCTGCGCTGCGTCTGGCCCAGATCCAACGCCAGGCATTCTTTCAACGTACTGCCGCTGACGACAGCGATTCCTCGGTTTTGCTTAAACGGTTTTATAAACCATCCGAGAAGCAGAAGCCCATTTGTTCACATTTGTTGACAAACATTGCCGATCTTGGAAACCCTGCAACTTTTTTGGCTGGCTGGTATTTTCCCAGTGAAAATAGCAACGGATTAAAGTGCTAAACTGCCCACTCAGGGTATACTGAAAGAATAACATTCAAGAAAAAAAACATCCCCACGCGATACAAACAGAAAAATGAAAAAAAAAACAAGAAAAACTCCGCAAACAAGAGATCATGCTCCGCCCAGTTATTACGCGGTAAAACATGGCTTGACAAAAGACGCTGCAGATTAGCAACACGCAGTATTGCCCATTGAAAAAATGGGTCGAAGCTTCCTGCATTTCTTTGCGCACACGCAAACATCAAAAGTTAGAAGCTTACTCAAATGACAAGTTTACTCACAGATGACCAAACGAAAAAAAAAACTGCAGCAGGCAGCAGCTCTTGCTTTTGAACGCCATTGCGCGAAGAACCACTACATGTTCCAATACCGATCAACTTCCAACAGTCCCTGAAACCACAAGCAACCTTAAACTTACAAGTTACAAGCTTTTGAGCCGTTTTCACCGGCAAACCTGCCACAACCAGGCAGCCATGCACTCCAACAGAACACTTTTCATTCACGCACCGCTGTCCACTCATGCGCATTGAAATCTGCCTGCGCAAGCGCAGGACCAACAAAGGAAAGCAAATAGCTAAATATAACGCCATTTCAATTTGCGACTGCTAAATGCAAAATATTTTCGAGAACAACCCCAACGGCTACATTACGGTTGCAAAGCTAGCCAGATTACAGGCCGAAGCGTCTTCTTCATCTGCATTTTTCAACTCTGAAGCATCCGAATGTGCAAAAACCACATGAAAAAACGAAGAGACGACCGACACCTCATTGTCGAAGGAAAGACCGGCTTGCACATGAGGCTCCCCTGCTGCAACCAATCGACAAAACGAAAAGCCTTAAGCCAAGAACTCGCGGATTCTTCGCAACATGCTCCCAGACGAAGGTTGGGCGGTCGCCCTGGTGTTTCACACAGAAAT